TTCAACAGTGTTGGATTACGAAGCTGCCGAAACAATTGTGAAGGCATATATATAGGCAGCCTCCATGCCTACCAAATGCTTATACTTTTTTCTGCATTCCACACTTCTATTTAAAAAAAAAACACAGTATACAAACTCTTTTTGGACAAAGGAAAAGGTGGTGGGATAGAGCTTTCTTTACAAGAGTGCAGTACTTGTAAAGATACAATAAGGAGGTTGGGCTGTTGTATCCTGAGGGCGGCGTGACCATAAAAATCTGCTGTACCAGTGGCACGAAACGTCCTAAAGAGAGTGATCGATCAACGCCTCAGCTCAAGCTCCTCATACTTTCGGTAAAATCTTTCTACTTTTTATTTTCATCTTTAATTAATTGTTTTTTGCTATTCTTTTGTCTATTTTCTTTTCTATTTATTTCTTACGATGAACAACAAGAATTACTAAACAAGTCATGCCTTTTGAGTCTTGAAGCATGTATATCATGTAAGGCCTAGCACATCAACACCCTGTCAATTTCAAAACATTGAGATTCAGAGGAGCTCAAATTCGGATAATCAATATGTGATTTAATTTGATTCAGCAAGCAGATTGATGCCATTTTTGCCATCAAAATTTTTTTTTCTTTGCCTCATTTTGCCACATCTTCTACGACTTTAATTGAGGATAAGGATCTCCCATTCCCCCGGCATCTTCTTCATTCCACCCATTTCCAGATTATGCACGAGGATATCTTTGCTCCCCAGAATAATTTTTACATCTACAGAAACAGTAGTATGAAAAAACACAAGAACACGAACAGATGTAGACAATTTCCTTTCATATAAATTTACAACTTCTGTTGGAGTTGTGGTGTCAAAGCTGCAATACAGTAGCAGCAAAGTGACAGCCACATGGAGCTGCACAAAATGGCAGCAAAAATATTGTTTTATATTGTATTATTTTTGCTATTTATAGCAGAATATCAATAGAACAAAATGAGTTTTCACCTCATAAAAAAAGAGAGAACTCCGGATGTCTCCTTCTCCTCCAAGTCCTCTCTCCACCCTTTCCCAAGAAAACGCCAACAACTTCAATTTGTTGCACCAGTTTCCCTCGTTTGATCCATCAACTTCCTCTCTAAAAACCAATGTTTGAGCTCTGATTCCTCCAAACAAAGACAATGGAAAAGACTTGGACAAACAGGCCAGAGAATCATCTCCTTCCTCCCCACAAATTTTGAGTCAAATTGATCCAAATCAAGAACTCTCTGGTCTTCACGCCAGTCAGATTCTTAATCTTGTTAGGCTGAAAATATGCCGTACTCACAACAGCACAATTGATGACTGTGTCCTCAAACTTGTAATATTCCCTATTCCTCGTGTCGGAGCCAAACAACAAACTCCGTGTCCTTCACGTACCCGCACTCCTGTATGTCCAGCACCGTCAGCAGCCAGCCCAGGAACCCCATTTCCGCCAACAACAGAGCGAATTTC